ATAACATAAAGTAAATTTTAATCCTTTAGACCACATATTTTCCCATTGCTGCATATGTATACTATATCCAATATTTTTTGCCCATTTAATCATGCATTCTTTAACTTGTTCTTGTTTGTTAATTCTTTGATATAGTTATAAATGCTTTGACTTGCCTCCCAAAAATATTATTTATTTTTAGGTTGTTGGCCTCCGTGAGAGTGAACGTAAACTGCAACTGCAGTCTGAAGAACTGAGAATGAGGGTAATGGAACAAGAAAATATAGTAAGAGAACTTGAATTGGCACTTGAACATCTCATGCTGCAATGTGACAGGCGCCTCACCCTTCAACAAAAAGAACATGAGCAAAAGATTCAGTTGATACTACTTCATTGTAAAGGTAATCGAGTCTGGTGTCTGGATAGATACAGTGGGAAATACAGTGTGGACCTCATCCAGTAAGACTCCCTAACTGCACAATACCTTTGTTAGAACCATCAAAAGAGAATGAAAATTTGATTGGTCCTAGCTGGTCTTATGAAGCTGATTTTTTCCCTATGTATTACACAGATATATTTGCTCCTTAAATTTGAAATATATCAAAATTAATTTTAAATATATATTTATCATTTTCATACTCCCACTTAATGTGAAATGTTCATTAGAGTCAACATCAAGATTAATACAATTATTTGAATATTAATGTAAAATATAAAATCTTAAAAATACTCTGTTACTGCCACAGCCTACCCACAGATTACATTTTTTTTTAAATTTATTTATCAAATTTGTCACCGCCCATCTTGGTGAAACGACTCTGGGCGATTTACAGCAAAGATAAAATACAGTAAAATACAGTATATAAAACAGTTCTAATAATAAATAGCTTCCAAGAAAGATGGAAAGTTGGCGAATAATTCAAGGGAACGTCATCAGGGTGCTAACCACCCCCAAAGACAGTTAGAGCCCATATCGCCCCATGCACACTGGCAGAGCCAGGTCTTTAAACCTTTTTGGAAAGCCAGGAGGGTAGGGGCTTGCCACACCTCTGGGAGGAGAATATTCCAAAGAGCGGGGGCAACAGCAGAGAAGGAATTCAAATTCAAGCAGTAAGACAAAGGGTTACTAGACACTATTACATTAGCCTTGCTTTAAGATGTCAGTTATAATAAGCTGAGGTAAACATGCTTTGATTATTCATATATTTTTAACATATTCCATATATAACTAGTCGCCAGAAGTCAAGATTGACTTCTTTCTTTCTTTTTCTGTGAGCAGAATTTCACTCGTTGGATATTAGAATTGATGAAAAGGGGGATAATTGTTTCAAAGCTCCTCTTCTCCCATTCTCATGTCAAAGTTATTCATAGGATCAGCAGACCTTCCGTAACAGAGTCAGAATTAAGACCACAGGGGCAAGGGGAAAAATTTTGAAAGCCCCTTTTCCAGGGAGAACAGGATCTTGATATTTACAATTTATAGAAGAACATATCTGGTTACAATCTCCTTAGGTTCAATAAGATGTGCTTCTTCAAACTTGATCTCATTATTGCTTAAAGAAGTGACTTTCAAACTTGGTAATGGCTGTCTTTCTGTCAGTAAATTATTACTTTGTGATAGGTGCAATTTTCTGCTATCTTAAAACAGGAATGACTATACATTTTCTCATTCCCACAACTTCAGTGAATTACTTTTTATTAGGCTCTTCAATTATTTTAATTCTGTTTTATTATCCCTGATTGTTATTCATTTTTCCATGACTTTAAAACCAGAGGGGTTCTTTTAAATATTTAAATACATATCTTATTTTTCAGAAAGTTGGGGACAAAATGCTAGCAAGATACAAGATACCATATTTTTCCATGAATAAGACGCCCCCATGTATAAGACGACCCCCACTTTTCT